GAAATGAACCAAAGGTATATAATACACCAAGAAGCTGAACTTTGAGAATCTGTGGCATTCTGGTCTAGGGTTGCTCCTACCCCTCCCGGCCTGGTTTGGCATGGCAGTTCTGCCAGGGCAAGGAAGCCCATGAAAACCAGCAGCTTCTATGCCTAGGTCTGAGGGGGCCTAACTCAGTTTGGAGTGGTGGGAAATGTCCACACCCAGGGGCATTGTCAGTGGAAGTAACTTCTCAGAGGAGGGCCAACAGCTCAGCTCTTTTACATGGAGGTTGTGAATGTGCCTGGGGCAAGCATATTCCTGGCTAACCAGGTAACGGAGAGGTCCCAAGCTATTCGGGCTCTCCTGAACTGCTCTGACGCTATGCATATAGGAGACTCAAAAGGGTTCACTGGAAAGAAAACCCAGGGCAAACCTGAAAATAGCCTGAACATTGAAAGGCCTCCCCTACCCCTACCCACACACAGATCCGTCCGAGGAGTATACATGCCTTACTGGCTCAAACTATTTGAGCACAGTTTCTTCCCAATCACTGCTGGCCACTAAGCTAGGCAGATACAAAGGCAGCTCCTAGGAAACTGGTGTTACATTTTTAAATTAGAATTATTTTTTTTTAATTAAGCAGAGACACTAGTGACTGCACACTGAAGGGGAACAGTTTTCACAGATTTAGTCCAGGAAAGTGACATGACAAAGAAACAAGTTACAAAACACAAACACAAACACACACACACACCAAAAACAATGACCTCCAGGGGAAAGGGAATATCAGAATCCAGAGTTGCTGGAAAAATATTACTTAAAATGTTCAAGTTTCAGGTGGAGAACCAAGATGGCGGCGTGAGTAGAACAGCGGAAATCTCCTCCCAAAACCATATATATTTTTGAAAATACAACAAATACAACTAATCCTAAAAGAGAGACCAGAAGACACAGGATAACAGCCAGACTACATCCACACCCACGAGAACCCAGTGCCTCGTGAAGGGGGTAAGATACAAGCCACAGCCCGGCGGGACCCGAGCACCCCTCACCCCAGCTCCTGGCGGGAGGAGAGGAGTCAGAGCGGGAGGGAGAGGGAGCCCAGGACTGCTAAACACCCAGCCCTAGGCGTCCACACCGGAGCGCAGACACACAGTGCGTGCGTGGGGTGCTGGAAACTAGGGAAACAGGACAGTAAGACCTGTGAGCATGTCCCCGCAGCCAGCACCCCAGGGACAAAGAAAAGCAAGTGCTTTTTGAAAGTCTTAAAGGGACAGGGACCCCACTGCTGGACGGAAGTGCCCCGGGACACTTAGCCCAGCAGCTGGGAATCCCAGGGAACTCTGGGCGCCCAAACCCCCGCAGCGCAGCTCGGAGGCCCCTCACCGTGATAAACAGCCTCCCGCCTGTTCCCCCTCTGACACGGCTACGCCATATTGGAGCAGCAGCCTGAGGCAGGCCACACCCACAGCAATTGCAGAGCTAAATAAACTCCATAGCAGCCGGGCAAGATCAGAAGCCCCATCTGCATGCAGCTGCCCAGCACAAGCCGCTAGAGGCCGCTGTTCTCCCAGGAGAGGAAGGCCACAAACTGGCAAGAAGGGACTTTCTCTTACCCAACACATGCGCCAGCTCCCCACAAATATATCTATCGCCATGAAAAGGCAGAAGAAATTGATACAGACCAAGATCACAGAGGCAAACCCTGAGAAGGAGATAGACCTAACCAGTTTTCCTGA